CGTGGCCCGCGTCCATGTGGACAGGAGGTCTCCTGGAGGTGGGGGGCCGGATGTGGGCAGAGCAGAGGCTGGGCCGCTGTGGCTCAGCGGTCTGCGGCCCCTGCACGCCACCCAGGTTCTTCCTCATGTGCTACCTGTTTGTGAATCTGGCCTGCGCTGTGCAGACGCTGCTTCGCACGCCCAACTGGCGCCCGCGCTTCAAGTACTACCACTGGTAAGGCTGGAGCGGGGCGGGCAGCCTTGGCCCCAGGAACGGGCTCTGGTCCTCCCTGGGATTGCTAGGCCCAGGTAGTGTTGGGGTCCCCACTTTGTGGCCAGCCTGGGCCTTGGGCTGCCCACGGTTTCCCAGGGCATCAGGTCTTGAGGACAGAGGGAGGCCACCTTGTGTCCCCTGTGCAGCCCAGGTTCCTTGGGAGGGTGTGATGATGGTGTCCTCTTGGATCCCGGAGCCTGGGGTCAGCTGTTCCCGGGGACTTCGTTCCCAACGTTGGGACAACAGCGTGCGAGGCAGCGGCCCAGTGCCAGTTGGACGGGCAGCCGGCACCTGAGCTGCGTATCCCACAGGACGCTATCCTTCCTGGGCATGAGCCTGTGCCTGGCCCTCATGTTTATCTGCTCCTGGTACTACGCCCTCTTCGCCATGCTTGTCGCCGGCTGCATCTACAAGTACATCGAGTACCGTGGGTGAGTGGTGCCCATGGGGCATGGGGACCAGGCTCTGTCACCCTCCCTGGGGTGCACCCTGGCGTGGGCCTCGGGTGGTCCCATGGGGAGGCAGAGGCACAGGGAGCTTTAGCAGAAGCTGCTCCAGGCAGAACCATTTCCAGGCTGGACTCCACTGGCTGGCACCCCTGACCCAGGGTGCCCACCTGAGCTGTGACTTGGCAGTGTCCCTGTCTGTGGCCGCACTCATACTTGTGGCCCTAGTGGCCAGCACCTTGCCCACACTTCTCTGTGAGACCTTCCTGTCCATACCACTGCCCAGTCTCCCTGATCCATGTTGGGTCATGACCCCTCAACAGGGGGCTTCACATGTGCCCTGGGGGCTGTGTGTATGACCAACTTCCTGCTCACCTAAAGCTCACCTCTGCAAAATGTGACAGCCAGTGACCACACACCATGGGGCTGTGTCTCAGAGCTGTGACCCCAACAGCTGCCCTGACCCATCCCCACGGCCTGCCTGTCCCCCACTACCTCATCCTTGGCCCAGGTCCATGGGACCAGCCTGGCACAGAGTGGGCACCCATTCTCTCCACTGAGGCAGCGGAGGGGCTGCCTGTGGCCCCCTCTCGTCCTGCTGCAGACCTGACTGACTCGGGCCAGGATCCACCTCCTCCCAAGTCGTGGCTTCCTGCCCTCTGGGCTTTTCCCCAGGACCCGGCCAGGCAGGGGTGGGTACGTGGCTGTCCCTGCTGGAGGGCCATGCTGCCTCTGCTCCTCGTGCCTCCGGAGACCCACTCCGTTGCCACCTGGATGTCACATCCAAGGGCCTCCCTGTCCCACAGGGCCGAGAAGGAGTGGGGTGATGGCATCAGGGGCCTGTCACTGAATGCCGCCCGCTACGCCCTGCTGCGCGTGGAGCATGGGCCGCCACATACCAAGAACTGGAGGTGAGCGTGGTCACAGGTGGGGAGCAGGGCGTCGGGTGCTGGGGAACACGAGTGTCCTCCATACAGGGCCCGAGCCTGTGGCTGTCCAGCACCACAGCCACTTGGCCCGCGGCGGACGTGTGCCTCGGTCTCCCAGGGAGCCAAGGCTGCGGACCGGTGCTTGCCCTCCTGCCCTTCCTGTCCCCGCCTCACTGGTGTGCTGTCCCCAGGTGTGGCCTGCTTACTGCTGTCCCTGCTCTCCGTTCCCCTGCCCTGCCCCACAGGCCCCAGGTGCTGGTGATGCTGAACCTGGATGCAGAGCAGGCCGTGAAACACCCACGCCTGCTGTCCTTCACCTCACAGCTGAAGGCCGGCAAGGGCTTGACCATCGTGGGCTGCGTGCTGGAGGGCACCTTCCTGGACAAGCACACAGAGGCACAGCGGGCCGAGGAGGTGGGTAAGGAGTGGCTCATGCGGAGTGGTCAGGGAGCCCAGGGAGACCTGGGCACACATGGCCAGGCTGGAGGGGCCGTGGCTGCCACTGCATGGAGGAGCCGACCATGCGTGTGCTGTGTCAGGCGTGTGTCCCCGTGTGACACTGACACCAGCCGGCACCTGCTGGTCACAGCTGGCATCTTTGTGACTCCAGGGTTCCAGGCACGGTTTCTTCATTTTGGCTGCTTTTGATGGGAACTGCAGAGCCAGGCAGGGTCGGGTGGGTGGGTCCACACGGCTCTGTGGCTGCCCCAGCCCCTGCTGTCCTCATGGGGCTGGGCACCATCACCTCTGACGGTCAGGGCAGCTAACCTCACACAGGGCTCCTTGGGCTGGGCTGGGTCCTGGCACTTGCCGGTGTGGCCTCCTCAGCGGGTGTCCTTGGCAGCCTGGGTGTGTCCCTCTGTCATCCCCACGTCTCTAAACCCAGGCTGGGCACTCAGAGCGAAAGTAGCAGTGGTGTCGCTGGTTCACTTCTTCTGGGCCACTGAGGGCCAGTGTGTCTGGGGTGAGCAGGAGAGGCCGGACCCTCTTCTGTTCCCGAAGGAGCAGGTCTCCGCATCCCTGTGCTTGGTCCAGTGGCCGCTGCTGGCTGTATGGCTGTGTGCTGTCACTCCTCCTGCACCCACGGTGTCCCACCCGGCCCAGGAAGCCTTTTCACAGTGGCGCCTGAGCTCTGGGCCTGGCCTGCACCTGGTCCATCAGGAAGTGCAGCATAGGAGCAGCCGGGCTCTACCTGGCTGCGCTTGTCTTGCATGTACAGGTGACCTCGTACCTCTGCCTTTGTGTTCTCGCCCCTGTGGGTTCATCTGGGAGAGCCCTGGAGCATCTCTGCTCCTCGGAGCTGGACACTCCCGTTGTCCAGGTGCTGGCGCTGAGCCGACTCCTGTGTCCTGTCAGATCTGACTCGGGGCCATGCCGTGCATCCTAGGTGTGTGCTCTGCTGAGCCCTGTGACCTGCAGCATCCTCCACCCCGATGCTTTGGGGTCTGGGTGTGGATCTGCTTGGCAGAAGAGCAGGCCTAGTGCAAGTCCCACTTCCTCCTGCCTGAGGGCCACCTGCTCAGAGCCTCTGCAGCATGGCCACCAGCAGTGCTGAGACTGAGGCTGCCGATGTCATGCCCACGCCATGCCAGGCATCAGGCTGGGTTCCTGTCAGGCAGGGCTCAGCCTCTGCATCTCGTGTCCCTGGCCAAGGCCCAGGGATGGTGAGGCCAGCCCAGGCTCCTTCAGACGATAGCATGGGAGAGCCACACTTGCCTGCGGGTCCATGCAGGATACCTCAGGACCCTGAGGTTGCTCCAACGTGCTCAGCCCTCTGCTGCTGGTGTCCAGCCAAGTAGGAGGTTAGAAAGCAGATCCTTGCACAGCTGGATGGGGGCGTCCCTGCACCCGCTGCAGAAGCTCCATGTGCTCCATCCTCTCCTCCCAGCCCAGGGCAGCTGTGTCCTTGGGCCCCTCCTCCTGCCAGTGTTGGCTCTCGGTAGCCAGACAGTGACCCCATTCAGGCTGTTCCTGAGTCCGGTGAAATTTTAACAGTGGGACACAGCCTTGGATCCCTGCACCCCCACCCCATGTGGGTAGTGGCAGCTTCCAGGGGTGAGACTCAAGGCCGGGAGAAGGCAGGTTGTGCTTGGAGTACAGGTTGAGCTATGACTTGGGGCAGATGGGGGCTGCTGGCATCGCAGAAGTCAGGAGGGCATGGTGGCGGTGGCAACCTCTGGGGTCATCTGTGGATGCTGCCGTGACAGGTAGTGTCCTAATGTGCCAAAGTTGGGGGTCAGGGTGTGGGCAGGCTCTGGGGATCCAGGTGTCCCATCCTCTGCTCAGACCTCTGCCTGTCTCCAGCAAGGACTCTTGTCCCTGAGCAGGGCTGCCTCAGAATCAGGATGGCCTCTGAGAGCTCGGTCCCATCTACAGGACCCTCTTTCAAGGCTGCGTCCTTGGCACGTCACAGGCCACATCCATCTGGTTTCCTCTTGAAATCTGGCCACTTGGCGGGGGGGGGGGCTCCCTGGGGACGCAGCACCGTGACAGGACAGAACTTGCGGTGGCCCCTAGTGGTGTCTGGCTGCTCTGGTGTTTCGTTTCTGGAGCCTATGCCGTGTGTCTTTCAAGGGAGAGTTGTCAGATTCTGCCCTCTTGTGGCACGTTTGCAGCAGACTGGGTGCAGATCACGTGGCCCAGAGTGAATGTCTGAGGGATACGGTGTGCTTAGTGATATGTGAGTCCCTTTAAAGAACCGTCTAGCACCTTGTGCTGAGAGCCACCCTGTCATCTGCATGCCTCTCATACACGGGTGCTCAGAGCCGGGCCATGGTGGGGGCCGCACACTGACCCTCCTGTTCCCCGCAGAACATCCGGGCGCTGATGTGTGCGGAGAAGACCAAGGGCTTCTGCCAGCTGGTGGTGTCCTCCAGCCTGCGGGACGGCACGTCCCACCTCATCCAGTCGGCTGGCCTGGGCGGCATGAAGCACAACACTGTGCTCATGGCCTGGCCCCAGTCCTGGAAGCAGGCGGACAATCCCTTCTCGTGGAAGAACTTTGTCGGTGCGTGTGCCGAGGCCAGGTGCTGTCACGCCTGTCCTCATCTCCATGTCCCCAGGCCTGCGGGCATGGCCTTGGGAACCACTGAAGGCCTCCGCCGCTGTCGCTGGAGAAACAGGCACCCTTCCCGTCCTCACCCCAGCTGCGCCCGAGGGGGATCTAGGGCCGGACGGGCAAACTGTGTGAGGGCGGTGCCCCTGCCCATCCCCGAGGTCGCGGGCCCCACTGCCCTGGGGTGACTCACCCCCACCGCTGTCTCTGCAGACACCATCCGTGACACCACGGCCGCGCACCAGGCCCTGCTGGTGGCCAAGAACGTCGATGGGTTCCCCCAGAACCAGGAACGCCTGGGTGAGGGTTACATTGACGTGTGGTGGATCGTGCACGACGGCGGCATGCTCATGCTGCTGCCCTTCCTGCTGCGCCAGCACAAGGTGGGGCCGTGGGCAGGCGGGTGCTGCGGGGACACGGGCAGGAGCTCGCGGGGCCCACGTGACCGCTGCTCCCCAGGTGTGGCGCAAGTGTCGGATGCGCATCTTCACGGTGGCCCAGGAGGACGACAACAGCATCCAGATGAAGAAGGACCTGCAGATGTTCCTGTACCACCTCCGGATCAGCGCCGAGGTTGAGGTGGTGGAGATGGTGAGTGCCGGCTCTCGGACAAGGCGAGGGCAGCGTGGCAGCCCCTTGTACCCTCTGGTGACTTCTCTGTGGCGCAGTAGGGTGCTGCCACCAAGACCCAGTGTGGTTCCTCAGGCGTCACTGTCCCTGGAGCGGTCGTCTGTGTAGGGACTGCGGTGCCCGCCCCACAGTGACCCCTGACCCGGGTTCTTCCCTTAGCTCTGGGGACTGGGGACAGGGTTGTCCCTCCTCCCGATGGCTCTGTGATGCTCACTGTGCAGTCTGGGTAGCTGCTCCTGGTTCCATGGCTGCAGGACACAGCCTGGCTGGACAGGGCCCGGGAAGTGGTGTGGCAGTGCCGTCCTCACCTGGACTGCGCAGATGCTGCTCTGGGGTGGGGTCTGCACATGTCTGTAGCCACGATGGGGCCAGGCAGCTGTGTGTGTTACCTGGGCCTCTTGGGTCTAGGGCTGCTCTCTCCTTCCCATCAGGGCCTTCCCTGCCCTGCCTGGGCTACTGTGGGCACTGGACCAGGCCCAGCCCTGGCAGGTGCAGGACCTGCTTCTCATGGCCTGGCTTGCAGCCCTGGCCGGGGACACCCTCAGAGTCTGCTGGTCCCAACTCTCAGATATTGATGTTTCCAGCCATGCCAGACATAGTGACCGGAGCTGCCTGGGGACAAGCCCTGGGGTTGGAAGGTGGCCAGTGCAGCTGCGGACAGCAGGGAGACCCAGGGCCGGGAGCGGACCCTGCACACAGGGCCTGTGGTGTGCGTGGAGTTGGGCCCTTCCCCAGTGCAGGCTGACAAGCCATCTGCTGGGGCCTCAGTGTCACTGCACGAGCAGTGACCAGGCTTTCTGTGCTTTTCTCCTCTGCAGTGACAAACTGACCACAGGTGGCAGAGGACACCTGTCACACGTGTGTGTGTGTGTTCCTTGAGGCCACTGCCCTTGTGGCACAGCCGGAACACTGCCCTGAGCCCAGATGTGCTGTGTGCTGTGGTGGCAGCATGGTTGTCACATCCCCAGTGTCAGTGTCGGGGTCCAGGAGGGGACAGCCAGGAGATGAGCACACCCAGCTGTGACCACCAGCACACACTCACACTCACTCAGGCCCACTCACTCCGGCTGCCAGCACCACTGGGGTGGGCTGCAGACTCCTCAAGGGAGGACACAGTGGTCAAGACACGCAGCTGTCCACACCCGCGGACGGGACGCTGATGGGGTGGGCGGTGCGAGTGCTGTTGCCGTCGCCTCTGTGCAGGTGGAGAGCGACATCTCTGCATTCACCTACGAGAAGACGCTCGTGATGGAGCAGAGGTCCCAGATGCTTCGGCAGATGCAGCTGTCGAAGACCGAGCAGGAGCGAGAGGTGGGGGTGGGGCCGGCCTACTGCACAGCCCAGACCCGTCGGGGAGAGTAGGGTAGGGGCTGAGGCCCACACAGGCGTCCCCGGTAACCGCCCGGTCCGCAGCCTGCCCCACCTGTGCACAGGGCCTGCTGTCTAGGTCCCTTTGAGACAGGCGTGGCGTGGGAGCCGGAGACTCCAACCATGGGCCCTCACCCTCGGGCAGCTGCGGTCCCTGTTATCCTTCTGGTGACAGCAGCGACTGTTCAGGGCCTGTCCTGTGCCCACCTCACCAGACCCAGTGCATGTGTCCATCCCTGTGTCCCGGTGTCCCTCGGCCACTTCCCAGTGGATGGAGGCCCTGTAGGTGGGCGCTGAGGGAGGCTGTGGTGGAGTGGGAGGGTGCGGGCTTGGCTGCCTGCAGGAAAGACCCTTGTGGCCTGAACGTCCCCTCCTGTTGTACAGTCAGGGTCCCTTGTCTCATGGCTCTCAGGGCAGGGGCAGTGGGCCCCACAGGGCGGGGATGGGAAGTTGGGGCAGTACTGGGCCCCATGGGGCCAGGTCCAAGCTCCTGGGGCCGTGTGCTGCCCCGAGGCCCTGCAGCCGGCCGTGTGCGTGAGTCCCTCACTCTGGGGCTTTGCGGATGCCCCAGCTGTGCTGAGTCCACTCCCCGGTTCCCCAGGCCCAGCTGATCCATGACCGGAACACTGCATCCCACACCTCGGTGGCCGCCAGAACCCAGGTCCCACCAATGCCAGACAAGGTGCAGATGACCTGGACAAAGGAGAAGCTGACGGCGGAGAGACACAGAGACAAGAGCGCGGGTGGCGCAGCAGGGTTCAGGGACCTCTTCAGCCTGAAGCCGTGAGTGCCTGCGCCGCCCAGCCGCCCATGCCGCCTGGTGTCCTCTGATTGTCTGGGGCTGCTGTGCGCAGCGGGGTGAGGCTGGACCACACAGCTGTTGTGTACTGATAGAGCCCGAGCTCCCTGGACCAAGCTTCAGCTCCTGTCCTGCTGGTGACTCGGCCACAGGGCTTCGGGAAGTGGGTACAGCTCATCCTGTAGACCCCGCCCAGGACCAGTCGGAAGCCACTTCTCAGTCCAGTCTTGTGGGAGTGTCGGGGTGCTGGGATGCCAAGGCTTCCTGCATGCCAGGCAGGCGCCACATCATCAGTCTCTTCTAAAGTTTGAGACGGTCTTCTGCTGGTCACAAACTTGGGAGCCTCCTGTCTCAGCCTCCTGAGTAGCTGGGATTACAGACATGCTCCATGCCTGCTTCAGTTGGGTCCTCAAAATGCCCAGGAGAGGGTAGGGGGCTTTTGAGGGCCCTGCGGGATCCCCTGGTGAGCAGGGTGGGGTCCTGTCAGGTGGCCATCCTGGACTAACCTGCTCTCTGTTCCTCTCGCCACGGAGGGAGTGGGGAAGCCTGTAAGTCTGAGCCTGCCTGCTGCCTGCCCCTCCTTGCATGGCTGCCTGCTCGGAGCCTTGCACTCAGCTAACAGGATGCGTGGGCCTGAGCATGGCAGCAAGCCAGGCAGCCCGTGCAGTGTCTCCAGCACTCACTGCCGTCTCGCCATGGGGAGAACCTTGGCAGGTCAGCCATGTCTGAGCTCCAGGGTCAGGGTTCCCAGGCCGGGCCAGGGGGGTGGACATGTCCCTTGCTGGAGCTTTGCTTCATGTGAATCCAGAGTTTCTCCAGATGCTTCCTGAGTTAAACACGGGGCCCCTGGCACCCATGCCTCACTTGGCCTCCAGAGTCTCAGCTTCTGGTGCAGGGTTCTTAGCTCCTGGGTTTTGGGCCAGGAGGATGTTCTGAGGGTTCAGGGATCGGGTTGCCTTGGCCCTTCTGGCAAAAGGTCTGCTCCTCGTCCATCCTGGACAGCCACCCTCTTGCTTACTGATTCACGTAGCTGCCAGGGAGCTGAGGAAGCTTCCAGAACCCCAGGGCTACTGCCCTTCCTCTGCCTCCTGTTCCCAGGACCCCAGCCTGGCCAGACCCGCCATGGGATTAGGGACACGTGCATTCCAAGCCTTCAGCTCCTCATTGGCCTTCAGGGTTGCACGCAGCTCCGGAGCCACTGCTTGACCAGCCACGTGGGGACAGTGGCCTCCCCAGGCGGCGGATTTGGGTTTCTCATAAGGAAAGACTCTAGGGGAGCCCCTGTGCTGCAATTTTATTGGGCTGAGTTGGCGTGAGCACAGTGGAGCCTTTGTCCTGGCTTCCTCCTGGTACCACCCAAGCCGACCCCCTGACTCTGGCTGTGCCCGGGACATCTTCAGGTCCGCTGGTCCCACCTGTCTGTCCCCATGTCTAGGCACAGATTGCTAGGAAAGGCTGTGGTGGAAACTGGGGGTGGTGATGGGCTGGCCACGACCCTGTCCTTTGGCCCTAGAGTCGCTGATGATCGGGTTTCCCGTGCAGGTAGAAATTCGAGTGGGCCGAGGGGTAGTGCTCGGCAGCCCGGGTGGCTCCCTGGGACGCCAGTCTGGACAGGGTGATAGGGCTCGCTAGGAGGGCACCGTGGCCACTCGCCTGGGGACATGTGGAGCTCACGAGACAGCCCGGCATGTGTTTGCACGCCCCTATGTGTCAGCAGCGCTGGTTCCCCCAGCTGCACTCGGCCCGGTACCGCAGCCACGTCAGCATCGCCATGGCCCGGGATGGGGAGCTGGTGCCAGGGCTTTTCCTTGCGGGGCACTGGCCCCTCCCAGCCCAAAACCTATGTCTCGGGTGCTGCTGGGCAGCCAGGGTTGGGTTGTGCTAGGGACTTCATCAGGGGCAAGACCAGGCCGAGTGGCCCCCACACCCGCCTGCTCGCCAGCTGCCCTCACCTCGCGCCTTTGCTTTCGCCTGTGCAGCAGCCACCTTACAGTTTGTTACCCCTGAGGACCTTGCATGCTCTTGCAGCGTGTGGGGCTTGCCGCTTCCATGACAGCAAATTCTAGAATCCAGGCTAGAGCTGCTCACCACTGAACAAGTCGTGAGGAGTTGGGGGCCTCGCCCTGCTCCTGGCACACATGGGCACCATGATGGTGGGCACAGGCATAGGCTGCACTGCCCACCCACCACACCGTCTCCCCTCAGGGACCAGTCCAACGTCAGAAGGATGCACACGGCTGTGAAGCTCAATGGTGTCGTCCTCAGCAAGTCCCAGGACGCCCAGCTGGTCCTGCTGAACATGCCGGGGCCCCCCAGAAACCGGCAGGGCGACGAGAACTGTATCCTTCGACACAGGGCAGCCGATGGTGTGAGCCCGAGCCTGTCTGTGGGCCTTGGCCCGGGTGGGTGGCCTGGGGGGCTGCCTCCCCCTTCCTTCCCCTTCCTTGCTCAGACCGTCTCCCTTCACAGCCTTAACCCTGCACACCCAGACATGGAGTTCTTGGAGGTGCTGACTGAGGGGCTGAACAGGGTGCTCCTGGTCAGGGGTGGTGGCCGCGAGGTCATCACCATCTACTCCTGAGGCCAGTGCCGCTGGGTGGGGCGAGATGCCACAGGACCTGCACGAGCCACCCCCTTCGGAGCTCCAAAGCCGTCCCCTGGTCCCCTCCGCAGAGACCTGGAAAGGGGCAAAGTGCTGGCCACGTCCAGGGTCCCTGCCCCTCTGGGGCTGTCCAGTCTCTGGGCAGTCACTGCTCAGCTCCCACCTGGGGCCCGCAGGTCCTCACCTCCTGGTCTCCCGAGCCCTCCTCCCCACGTCAGTGCCCACACTGTCCACGCTTCACGGGCAGGGCACAGGCTGCCTGCCTGAAGGGGAGAGGGCATGAGGATGCAGGACTCGGCCTGGGCAACAGCTCAGCCCTACCTCTTCTCTCCCCAAGCACTGACCATGCCTGAGGGCCCCAGGCTGTTGGATGGTGTGGGGTAGGAACGCCAGGGTTCCTCCATGCTGCCTAATGGTGCAGCCCTCCCTGCCCTGCTCCAGGGACCCTGTCTCACTTCGTACCCTCCGGAAAGGACCCTCGAGCTGTGGCCAGGGTTGTCTCTGTGTGGGATGTACCCAGCTGTGTCCCTGTGTCTCACCTGGGACAGGCTCTCAGTACCTCTCAAGGGCCAGACAGACGGTTTGCACTTTAGCTTTGAGCTTTCTGCTTTGTGGGTCAGTCCTGGTCATAGTGATTTGTGCTTTGCTCTCTGTAGGGCGTATTTATTTATTTAAACACCCGGGGCAGTGTCCTGACGACCACATCCAGGTGAGAAGGCCAGGGACCAGGCACATGGCCTTCACTGGCACAGGGCAGGTCAGCTCCCATTGGGTGACCGCTGCCCAGGGAGTCCTGGCCAGCACAGCGGACCCAGGCTCCATGACCTGTGGCCACAGCCCTGTGAGGAGCAGTGAGAAGCAGGTGGCTCCTGCTCCGGGTTCCTGAGCTATGCTTTTGTGGGACGCGTGGTTCCCTTTCCCTGAGCGCTCACTGCCGCCCTTCAGACTCCTGTCCATGTTCTGCTTTTGTAGCCACCTTGTCTTTGTACGATTTTGTTAGTAGAATAAAGTTCTGTGAAGTCCTAGTGGCTGAAGCGTCTCCCCATTGCAGATGACCGCAGGGTCTGTCGGTGTAGAGCAGCACAGAGTTCTGCCGAGTGACAAGTGGCCCACCCTGCACCGCCTCCTGTCTTCACCAGGGTGCTGGGGACGGAACCCGAGGCCTCCCCACACCGGGCAGTTCTGCCCCCAGGCATCACCCTGTGCTGTAGCAGCAGGAGCACCAGGACTTCAACAGGACAGCTCGCTCGCCTTTGCCACGGTTCCCAGAGCAGCACACGGAGACGGTGTGGCTCCCCAAGCTGCCGTCACGATGCTTGTCCCACCCTTTGCCACAGCACTGTTCATGTCCTCAGCCAGTGTCCAGTCCTGGAAGGCAGGATGTCACAGGGCTGTGGGTGGGGCTGCGGGCATGTGGCAGGCCCAAGGCCGGGGCCCAGCAGGCTGCTGGTCACCAGGGGCAGAGAGAAGGGTGGGTGGGCACTGGGATGTCAGTGGTGCCCCCACCTGTGCCCCTGCTGGCTGTGTCCCCAGACGTGCGAGCACCACGGAGCTCTGAGCTTGGCTGCTTGGTGCCACCTAGCCAGGTGGGGGAACGTTCCTCAAGCGAGTGGCAGAGGGGGCTAGGAGGGTAGGAGGAAGCCCTGAAGAAAGGGACAGCGTGGGGAGCAGTGACTTGGGAGTGTACCTCCGGGCTGTCCTAGGAGGCCGCCAGCAGACGGCCCATATGTATACTCAGGCCCTCAAGCCTTCACTTCTCTCACAGAAAGCACTTGGTCTGCAGCTGTGACCGCTGCTGTCCTGCCTGGAGAGGCTGCAGTGCCTGGCAGGGTTGCCTTCCTGACCCAAGGGCCTCGGACTCCCAGGTAGGCCAGGCCAGCACCCATGATACTCGGTGTTTGGCCCACAGATGGGGACACGGCAGGTCCATGTCCACGCTGGCTCATGCACAGTGCATTAAGCTCTCTCTTTACTGCCACCCTCAAGGTGCGGCGGCTGTCGCAGGCACAGTCCCGGGGCTGGTCAGTCCCCACTGCTACTCAGCCTGTCCTAAACCAGGGACTGCACCCAGGGCAGGCAGAGCTCAGCCTGAGCCCCCATCAGCTGCTCCGCTGGGCCCTGGAGGGTGCTGGGGGAGTGGCCCTGTGACATCACTGGAGGACAGCTGGGTGGGAGAAGGCTGAGGCTGTTGTGGGGTGGGCTCCCACACCAGGACTCACCCTGAGGGGCCTGGAGCCCACCACGTGCGGGGTACAGTCAGGTCCAGCAGGATCCCAGCTCTCCCGAACAGAACGGGCTCATAGGAGAGGCCAGGGGTGCAGGAGCCCTGAGTGCTGAGCCTCATACACTCGGCAAGGCTGCTTGTGTTCCTGACAGACTGTTTGGCTCCCTCCCTGTGCCTCCCTCAGCTGCTGCCAGGACCCGCTCCTCACAGCCCAGGATGGTGCCCAGTGGCTGCGGTCACAGCTGTTTGGGCTTACACGGCAGGTTTATTAGAGCAACACAGTGAAAAAGCCCTCGCCTGTGCCATGGCAGTGTCCCTGGGTTTTACCCACAGCAGGCATGCGCCTCACAGCTCACACCCTGGGTGCCATGTATGTGACCCGCGGCCACAAGGTGGGGTGTGCGTATGTGCTCGGGAAAGCCTGTTCGGACAGCGAGACAGGTTACCAAGTGCAGGGTCTGTACTGCGCTTGCAGGGACACCTCAGTGCCCACCTGGCTGTCAGTCTGCTTATTGTTTCATGTTTAAAAGCAAACCATCACGGGCCCGTGCTGCTGGCTGTCATGGAAGGGGACGCCTGGGAAGGTCCTGCCTCCACAAGAGCGACCTGAGTCTGGCCCCCTTGCCTGGATGAGCCACGCATGAGCACCGCCCTTGCCAGTTCCGTCGACTGACCACACCCTGCACACTGTCCCTGCCCTGTGCAGCAACTGGACCCACGGCTCCCCACCTGCCAGCCAATTCCACAGATGCTGTTCTGATGCTGCATTTGTGCTTGGAGCCACGCACACGTGGACCTAGGACGCACGGCACACGTGGAGCTGCCCTGGCCCCAACTTCACATGGAACGAGTGTGCTCGCAGCTACACCAGAAGTCCACAGCCTGGGAAGTGAGAGCAGGTTCCCCACCACACTCTGGACGCTGTGATCGAACAGCACAGTGGGTTTCCACTCTTGTGGTGTCTGCAGGACACAGCTTCCCGCTGGGCACTGTCAGCACCACGTGCTCCTGCCTGTGCAGCATCGAGGAGGATGCGGCCAAGAAAGGCCTCGCTGTCACGTCCCCGCTCTGCCTCCGAGGCTCTGAGCCAGGTGTCAAGTTGGGGACACCAAGCTCTCACAGGCACGAGGCTCCTGTTCCACGCCCGCCCCGGAGTGTGTGGCCTGGCACGTGGTGCCTCGTGCCAGGTGAGCTGGGTGCTAGGACGGGTGGAAGTGGTGATGGTGGTGGTGATGGTGGTGCTCGTGGTGGTGGTGGTGTTCGTGCCGCTGGACCACAGGCACTGTGTGGCCCTCAGCACCCAGCGTGTGTGGCAGGTCCCGCACCACCTCATGCTCCATCACGGCAGGCTGGCTGTGCACAACCTTGAGTGGCGAGTGACTCTCCCTGCCCTTCTGCCGTGGCCGCCTGTGGCTGTGGGGCTGTGGTGGGGGTGGCAGTGGAGGCTGAGGCAGGTGGTGGCCACCATCCAGGGTAGCCTGCGATGGTATGGCGGCTGGCAGGTGGTAGCCAGGGGCTCTGCCAGGCTTCCCACTGCCCACTGCCCCAGGCAGCTTCCCGAGACCTTTGGGGGACCTGAGGAATGGCTTCTCTGGCCCCTTCAGCCGGGTCTGCAAGTCCAGGCCTCGGGCAGCAGGCTCAGTGGCCAGCGCAGTGTGATCAGCCAGTACCTGGGAGCGGCGGTGGTGCAGAGCATGGGAGTCAGGCTCCTGGGAGCGGGAACGGCTCTGGGGGTGTGCAGCCCTGCTGGGGTGCTCCTGCCGTGCTTGCTCTGGTGGTAACCCTGCAGTGGGACAGGTGTGGGCCCGAGTAAGGCTGGGCAGCATGGGGGTCTGTGTCCCCTCACAGGAGCCATGTATGGCACGGTCCGGGGACAGGTCACACCCACTGCTCCCCTCCAGGCCAGGTTGGAGCCTAGATGGCCGAGTTTCCCAAAGTAAGCAGGGGCAGGGACAGAGAGCTTGGCCTGCACCTCCCTGGTTCTGCCACCCCAGCCTGAGTCGAGAGTGAAACTTCTCTGGCATGGCTGGCCTGTCAGGGACTCAAGGGACAGAGATGGACCCCCTCGGGAAATGCCCCGGGAAAGGGGCCTGAGCCCTCCTGACACATTAGACTGTGCAAGCACTTGGTGACAAAGACCCAGCCAGGTCAGTGTCAGCCACATGCAGCAGACTTGGGGCAGCATCTGCATTGTCACGAGGGGAGGCACCCCACCCTCCTGGCCTGTGTACCCTGATCCCAGCCCAGGGTGCACCCAACTGCGGCTTAGGACTCTCCCAAGGCCGCCAGGGGCTGTGGTCAGGAGGAAACAGGTGGGCAGGCCCACTGGTGTCCACACTGCTGATGCCCAGCCCTCCTTAGTGACCCTGTCCTTCTGTCCTAAGACATCATCCCCCCCAGGGTCCCCTGGATCCAAACCCCTATAGTTCACTTCGCTGGACTGGGAGACCTTGCACATACCCTGCGGCAACCTCTGGCATTGTAGGCACCAGCCATGGTGGTGGGAGGGTGAGACAGGTCTCACCAGGCAGGAGAGGGCATGCTGGGCAGAGATTACTCCAGGCTCTGCACTCCTGGGGACAGCTATGGTGGAGCTGTCCTCTGGGACCTACCAGGACCAAACTTGGAGGTGTAGTTTTCAATTCCAGCGAGGTCCAGGTAGTGGTTCCTGCGCTCCGTGTTCTCGTCCACACAGTAGGGACCCCGTTCGGGGCAGGGGCGTGGGTCACCACTAGGCCTCCTGTGTGTGGCAGACAAGGGCCTGACCACCTACCTGTGGCCGCAGCCCTGCTACTCTGACAGCGATGCAGAGGCCTTGAGTGCTCTGCCCAGAACCCACCCTGGCCATCAGGAGGAAGTTGCCACTCACCACTGGATGAGGCCCTTAACCAGTCACTGAGCATCATCCAGCACCCTGGCCACCTGCTATGGCTCTGAGAGAGCCCTGGGATGCCATCCAGTCCCCTCTCTGGGACTGTAGACCCACTCTCTGTCACTTATGCCAGAGAGTGGATCCCTGGGGATCCAGAGCACTGCTGAGGGTCCTGGCCTAAGTGCTGCTGCCAGTCAGAACATGCCCATCTCTCAGCAGACCTGGGTGCTTGGCTGGCTGGGGCATCTCTGCCCCAGGGCACACTGTGCCCAACCCCTCATACCAACGTTAGTCCCAGCAGCTGGGCTGGGCCCAGGGGCCTGTGGGACACAGCTCGCCTGGTGCCTGGCTCACCTGATGTGGGCAGACAGCCTCTTGTCAGCCCCCCGGGGGTCCTCAGCCAGCTCACTCTCTGTCCTGCTGCGAGTGGGCGCCCGGTCTGAAACGGGGGAGCACACACTCACTTGTTCATCCGCTTAGCCCATCGCTTGCTTGTCGCTGCCTTCAGAAACTTGGACGTGCTTATGCTCAGCCACCTGTTTGTATTCTCAGTTGTGTGCTCGGCCGTGCTTCTGTCAGTCATTTACCATGTATTCCATTACCCACCCACGCACCCATCCAAACACCCAACACGCATCCATTCATCCACCCATTTATCCAAGTATCAGCTCATCCACCCACCCATCCATCCACTCACACATACAATCGTCACTCATTTATTACGCGGTCTTTTACTCATCCACCCATCTGCTCGCTAAGTAGATTGTGTTGAGCTCTACCAGGCCAGTCCTGCTTGATATGCTATGTACCCGAGAAGTTCTTACATAGGAAGGGCTAAGCATAACATGGCATGGCGAGATGCTAAGAGCTATAGGACATTGTGGGAGAGGTGTAGGGTGTGTTAGGTAGCTTGGAGGGGTGACTGCCCCTGGAAGTGCTCACAAAGACAGAACCATCTGAGCAAGGGCAGCTCCTTGCCTGGACCTCTCACCCTGGCTGGCAGGAGGACACTCCTTCCTTGTGCCCACAGACTCAGGGCTGACAGTCAGCTTTACACGGAGGGTCTTGCTGCTGCCAGAAGAGTGGTTCATGGAGGCGCCGACCACCTCATAGATGGTGTGCATCAGGCTGGACATGTCCTGGGATGACACAGCAGAACTCAGAGGAAACGCTACTCACCCCTGCTGCCTGACACCTCAGGCTCCTTTCACCCCACACCCCAGGCTGGCGGCGCACACAGGCATGCCAGGAGGGCGTCATCTTGGCTGAGCTCAGCCTGAGGACACCTGCCTTGCTGTCCTTGGGTCACGTCTCTGGCCGTCTACATCCCAGCCCCAATGTCCAAAGGGTTTGGCAGCCTGACAATGACTACACCGATTCCCTTTCACCACCCGAGCTCGTTCAACATGTTAGTGTCTGATGTCCCAGTGCCCGCTTCCTTTCAGGAGCCCTTAGCTGTCCTGGACACAGGGCCTGGCTGAGCAGGGGACCCTCGGGGCCCCAGCTTCCCCCAAGGGAGCTGGGTCACAGGCACGTGGACACCAGCCACTGAGGACACACAGGGCATCCCCTCTTCTGTGCCTGCCTCCTGCCCCCAGGCCTCCCTCTCCTTCAGTGGGGCTCAGTCTGTCTCCACCGTGGGGATGGAGCGTCATCAGCTGCCCACCTGCCCTCAAGGGCAGAATGATTCTTCCACCCCAAGCCCACTCTCCACAGATGCTTGGTGAGTTACCTCCCTGGTGACCTTCCCACTGTTGTCGAAGTCGTAGAGTGTGAACGTCCATTCCTGACGGTTGTCCTCCTCTACCGAGACATCACACTGCAGGGCCTGCAGGCGTAGCAAGGCTGGGGACCGGGAGTCTCCCCATGGCCCGGGTTCTGCCTGCACCATGACTCAGGGACCCATCACCCGCGACACCTTCCTGGGGTGTCTCCTTCCGAGGGGCTGGGGTCCCCCCTTCAGCTGCAGCTGGGAAGGGGCGCCCCAGGGTGGGGGCCTGGCACCTCCAGACCCACCCTCACCCATCTCACCCTCTCCACCATGACGCCATCTATACCCTGCCAGTTCCGGAGACCTCCGCCGGCCCCCAGGACGTGTGGGGTGGAGAAGACCTACGTCAATGTTCAGGCGCCTCCTGCCCCCTCCTCGCGGGCCATCTCGGGCTGCCGCCCATTCGCTGTTGTCCACACCAAGGAGCTGTCCTGGACTCTCGTGGCTCTCAGCTTTCTCAGGGGGCAGAGCCACTGTGGGGACAAGAAGGGGTGAGGACCAGCCCAGGGAGGTGAGCTGGGGAGGCAGAGCTGCCTCCCATGCCAGGCTGCTCACCCCTCCTGATGGCCTGAGCAGAGACCCCATTGCTGTGGAATAAGTAGGAGGGCAGGGGATGTCACTTGGTCACCCATAGCAGGGACACCCTCAGCCTCCCCCGTCCCCCATGGCCCTGTGTGGCTCACAGCAGATTCCAGGGAGCAAACTAGCCCCTCCGGGTGAGGGTGCTTGACACTGTCCTGTAGGCTGGAGTTGGGGGTGCAGCGCCATCGCGCCCCTCCCACCTGCACAGTCCTGCTTCCCAGCAGTCCTCAACCCTGAACACTCTCACACTGCTGCAAGCCAAGCTGCTGGACGTGTGGCCTCCTGTTCCCAGGCTCCAGTGCAAGCCCAGTCCCCAGGAGAGGAGCCTGGCCATCCCAGCCTGCACCAAAGACATGCATGGCAGCAACTAGGGGGCCTGATGGGTCACCACTCCTGCCGCACACAACCTCAGCCCGGTGCCGGTCCATGTAGCCGGCCTCCCCACTCCAACATGGGTCCCTGAGACTGTTAACCATGAAATGAGCCAGCACTGAGGACATGGACCTGCCCTCCGCATCTCCAACAGCCAGGCCACACTCTCATCTGGCATGGAGCCCAGTGTGTGTGTGCCTGCAGGAGGGCGTCCTCTCAGGATGGTGACATCTGACAGGCTGGGGAGGAGTGGCTGCGGGGGCCAAACTCACCATCGAGGGGTTCCTGGTCCTCCCGGAAAGCCCCCTCTTTGGGGTCCTCACTGGGCAGCTCCTACAGGAGGAGACGGTGGTGAGTGACCACAACTCAGCTAGGCAGACAGGGAGTCAAGTGAGATTCTGCAGGCCTCCAGGCCGCCTCCTTTCTGGAGGCCCCAGCCTCACACAGCGGCAGCATGCAGACACCTTATCGTGCCTGGCTCCTCCTAAGACCTCCTGTGGCTGCCTACACAGCTCCCTGCCTCCTGCTCCCACCAGCCCACAAACCAACCCCCCACATCTGTCCCCAAGGTGCCCAGGACCCCAGGGCGGCATCCCATGGAGCTGCTGAGGGGACAGCACCTCCTCTGAGGCTGGGCTGAGGTGTAGGACTGCCAGCCGCCAGGGGCAGATCTCAAGACCAGTTATGGGAAGATGGGAAAGACTTCAAATGCACTCGTGATGCTTCAGCCTAGAAAATCTGCAGATTTTCTGCAGGCTCACATGGTTCCCATCAGGATGGACAGAAGCACAGGACATGGAGGAAGGAACAGGAAATGTTCAGGGAGCTATGGAGCAGGAGCCCCAGACCCATGGTTAGGGTGTTGCTGGGCCACCTGGCTCTGGAATGGACAAAGCCTGGTGTCGGAGGAAAGCCTGCCACATGGGAGACCCCATGAGCAAGAGCCTGAGGGGCATAATAACCCTGATGGCCATAGCACCCAGCATTTCAGGACCCCGGGATCACCCGTGCCTTCCTCTCTCCAGATCCCGAGTCAGGTGGCCAGGAAGGCAGATGCAGCCTGGGGAGAGCAGCACTCGGTAGTGGTCTTTAGGAGGCACTTTCTGGGTGAGGGGACACCCTGCTCTCGAGTGTGTTGGCACCCGTCCCGAGGGCCCATCCAGTCCCACAGGGCCTTTCCGCATCCACACTGCACGGTGTGCCATTCTCCTTAAGGGACCGAGTGGGTTCTAGCCCAGGTGGACATCAGATGATGTCCAATAACTGCTAATATCCTGACTTTTGGTTAAAAGTTTTCTGCAAAAATCAAAACATTCCGTGATATGCCTCCAGAGCTGTACACAGTGTCAGCATTGCTGTTCTCAAGCTGACTGTCAGGATGGACAGTTACTCTGTCACCGGGGCTACAGCCCCAAGTTACCTCCAACTGCTCCAGCAGTGCCCCGTCAGCACCCGTGGCCACCCCAGGGCTATCTCTGAGATGGGTGATGCCCAGTTCATGGGGTTCCCTCCCCGCCGCACCTCAGAGCTCAGCCCAAGTTGGACCCTGTTGACTCAGGGTGACTCGCCTGCAGAGGTGAGCGTGGCAGCGATGCCCGCTCAGTCAGAGCCAGATGACCTCCAGTGGCACTCACGGAAAGCACTGCATCATCCCGAGATCCCTGCCCGTGAGACAGGGGCAGCTCCCAGGAGAGTGCGGGAAGGGGAGGTTCAGGGTGCAGGGGCCCAAGATGGGGGTGTGATAAGTGGGCCAGGCTGGGGTTTCACTCCTGACCTCAGCTGCCCACGCCCCTCCCACCCTGAGACACCCAAAACGAATTTTTAAAATCACCTGAGCACTGTTTTTGGCATCTTGCATTGGTTTCAGAACACAGATATCCAGGACAGAAAGAGGGTTGGGTGGCTCTGAGTGGAGCCTGGGTGAGACCCTGGGTACAGTGCCTAGCACCACGGAAGAAAAGAACCTGCACAGACCTGGGTTGCCTCCTGGACATACTACCAACTCTAGATAAATAGCCAGTGTTGTAATAACAGATCAGGGCTCCCTAACCAACCGCTGCTACATTAACCACCCAGGGCTACTATAACCAACCAGTGCTGCTATAACCACCCAGGACTACAAAAACCAATCAGTGCTGCTGTAACTGGCCAGGGCTAATAACCAACCATTACTACAATAACCAACTGTGGCTACAATAACTAACCAGTGCTGTAGAACCACCAGTGCTTCTGTAACTGACCAAGCCTTCATATCTGATCAAGGTTTCTATAACAGACCACGGATGCCATCACTGATCAGGGCTACACTAACCACCCCGGGCCCTGCCACCTTCCCCCAGGCTGGCAGTGGCTTCCTGTGCTTGGCAAAGACCACTGCAGAGGACCCCCCGACACGCACTTGGAACCCAAGAATTCCTCAGCATGAAGCTGACCCACCAGCTCTGAGAGACAGGGTCAAAGAGGGGAAGTGGGCACTTGTGGGGAAGCAATCCTGAGCTCTGCGGTGGTGATTTAAGTCCAGACCAATGCCCTTTAATCTGTGTGCCTCATTAACAGAGAACGAGGAGCTTTAATTGTGAAATATAAACCCGGCCCAGCCCCTGGCCAGATGTGCGGCTCCTCCTGGCACCGCCCCAGGCAGCTGAGTCCCTGTAGGGCGACATCACCTGACCCATGCAGTCCCCAGCCACCTCCTCCCAAGTGCCCGATCTCATCTCCCGTGGGCCCCTCCCCTCCTCACACCCCCAACCGCTGACACTGACTTCCACTCAGCCTAACCGCCCTCACGTCCTCACCCTCAGCAGGCTGCCCGGGGATGCCTGGGGTGCTGGGCTGGCTTTTTGCAGGTCCCTTGGCACCTGCGCCTTCCTTTTTTTCCCCCACCTGCTCTCCTCACCTGCGAGGGACTCAGGGACTACCTCTGTCCTCAGGCAGCTGCCCCTGGGGCCACTGTCTACGTCTCTTCCCCACTCTACACAGCTGTTCTCGTGAGCACAAGAGGCCCCAGGGCAGCCCAGGCCAAGGCTCCCAAGACGCTTCCCACAGGCTGCTCAAAGGTTCTGGGAAGAAGGCAAGACAGAGAGAGAGCCCCTGTGCTCAGCACCCATCCTGGAGGATCGGGCTCCTGCGTGCCAGGTCACATGTGATACGGAACCTCAGAGACAGCGGCTATGGAGGCTAGAGGGGCATGGACCTCCTCACGAGAGCACCAAGGGCACTGGGGCGCCTTTGCTAGGAGGGGACAGTGTTCCCCAGCAGCCGGAGAGCACCTGGCAAACGCCGACTGTCTCATCTCGTCCACAATGCCAGACCCCCGAGTACCCAGGAAAGCACCCCAGGACACACTCCTGTGATCAGGACCCAGGTGCAGCCAGGGCAAGAGGACAGGGCACAGAGGACCACTCGGGGTCACCCATCCCTGCACCACCCTGCCAGACCTGCTTCTCCAGGGAAAGGTCCAGCCCATGAACCAGAAGCAATGGCCTGCTGCCCACAAGGTCAGACTGCATAGCCCCAGAGGGTCTGGGCAAACTCCTGCATCTCCCCCAGTGTCAGGAGGGAGGACAGGAAGAGGGGCTCTTGTTGACCAAGTCCTAAGGGGTGGACACAGACAGAGGCAGACACACGGAAGAGATACAGGGCAGCTAGGACAGGTCTCTGGGGATGGGAGGGGGCAGGGCCAGGGCAGAGGTGTGGGTGACAATGTCCAGAACTAAGTTTCCGGAAAGCAGCGGGTCAGGTGCCTGGGCCCTGTGGCCCCGAGTGGCCACAGCCGGCCAGGCAGAGCCCCTCCCTAGCTGTCCAGCTCAGGACAGTCACTAATGTCACTCCAGGCCTCGACAGCCTGCCACAGCTGCACTGCTCCAGCAGCCACAAACTCTCCAGAAACAACAGGCAGCTGTGTTAGGGCCCCTTGACCCTGAGAGACAGCTCAGCCGGGGTCAGTCCTGCCACCTCTGGGCCTGGGGGCTGAAAGCAGCCCACCTGGTGGGGCAGGCAATCCCAGGCCAGAGTGAGGACCACTAAGGTTTGAGGCGTCACAGAGAGGCCTGAGCAGGACGGGGTCTGGTGGGGCCTGAGAGTAGATAGGGTCTGGGTAGGGCTGAGCTGTGAAGCCCAGCACCCTCCATATTCTGCCGCCAGTGGAACCACTAGAGCACAGTCTCGGAGGAGCCAGGGCCAGTGGGGTCCAGGACAATGCCACGCACAGGCCACCAATGACCCTGGTCACCCGAGGGTCCTGGAGGTGCCTGGCTCCTGCCTTGGCGCTGCCAGGGTCCTGGACATGGATTTTGTGGCTATCCCTCAGGCAGACTGGGGACATAACCCACAGGATGGGGCTGAGCCCCTGGAACAGCAGAGGGCACTGCGGGGTTCTGAGAACCCCAAAGGGCTAGGTGTGCTGGAGGTGTCACTAGGAAAGGGGTCCAGGGTGAGAAGAGCGAGGGTCGGGGTGCAGAAGGGGCTGAAAGGGGAGAATTTGGACTTGGGCAGCTATGGGTGTTACAGACTTGGGGAAGCAGCACGGCCCTGGAGAAGGCGAGGCCCCCTTCCCACAGCCTGACTCCGGCTCGGACTCCAGGTCCTCCGCCGGCATCTGGGACTGCCCGGGGCTTTGGGGTCCAGGTCTCAGTTTCCTCTGCTAAACTGTTTCAGATGGGGCAGCGGAGTTCACGGGCTCGGTGATTCTGCTGCCTGTGTGGTAGGGGCTGCTCTGCACGTGTTCCCAGCCCCAGTGCTGAGCTAATCACAGGAGCAGCGAAGCCAGGAGAGGTGACCAGGGGGCCGGCCGAGGGCCTGCTCCGTTCTGCCCGTGGCGCTTCCGGGTCAGGCCCAGCTGAATCAGTTTGTGAAGACCACTTGGACACTTACATCGAGAGAAACTGACTGGTGTGAGGGGGCCCCTAACACACACTCAGGCTCCTCAGCCAGACAACACATCGGTCTCCATCCTCAACCTGGCCTAAGAGAAGCACAGCCTCGCCCCATTTCCACCGCTCCATAGGAAAGGTGTGGAAGGCTCCACACAGCCACCCATCAGAAGCACGCGGACCCGGCCACACGCACCAGAGACGCCGGCGTCTTCCCGGCACCATCCCTCTTGGTGCACCCACGGGACTCTGCTCCAGCAGGGGAGGCGGAGTCCCAGGGGACCCCACCGTGAGGTGTTCGATGCTCGGGGAGGACCTCAGGCAGTGAGTGGTCAGCGGGGCCTGGGTACACACGCAGACTAACCCGCAGGGTGGGGAAGGGGACTCTGCGTCCCTCCCAGGTGTCCGCCTCTGCCAAGGGTGATGCGTGGACAGGGATGTCCCTGGGGAGAGCTGTCAGCA